GTTTTTATCGCTGTTGCTGTGGATACGGCAGGGAATTACAATTATTTGTAGAGATATGCATGTTAGTGGGTGTGTGTTCAAGTAGTAATTATTAAATGTACCACCATTTTGTAGAATGTAAAGGTTTTGACTTTATATTCTAGGTCTATGAAATACTCGTCAGGAGCTTCAAAATTATGTGCCACAAAACCCCCGTTTTCATATAATTTTTTTTCCAAGATGGCGCCCATCTTGGCATTTTCATCTGTCAGTTTTGCTCTAAAATATAGTATCCACGCATCAATTTCATTACATCAAGTATTAATTTCCAGAATTTATCCGTTCATAGAATGAAAGGGGAGGGGGACATTAAAGAAAGGCACTGTATAGTGTGTCCCGACAATCAGTTCAACTGTCATGTCTCACTCCCGCTTTCAAGATGACGTCCAGTTCCTAGCAAGCATGAGGCTATCCGTCGTTTATTCAATGGATCAGACACGTCACCCCCGTTTATCGTACCGAAATCGCCAAAACTCCACCGAGAACATTTGTAGTCGAACATTATATGACAATTACGAGCATGTTGTGACATCAGTTCTGGGTCAGTTTTTGCGTTCTGGGAGGACATTTGGTATTTTAGGTACTATGGATGAGGGTGACGTGTTTATTAAAAAACAACATATCCTCATATCGACATATCCTCATCCTCACTTGCTGCTTTGAGGTTGAACGTTCTTCCGGAAGCGTAAATGCCTACCAAAGGCGATCCTGGGCTTTTCGCGGTGCCATCTTAAAATTGTAACAATTCTCGGCATTCTACAGGACCTTTCAATCTATTGTGGCAACACACTGTCTAGCAATGAAGACGAGAAGAAACAAATGAATTGTCACCTGAAAAACAGATGAATAAAATATACTGTCATTAGTGTAATTGTTGTTGATAGAGGTCACCGTGACGGTCGTTACGTGGTGCAATAAAATAAATTTAATCATGAATTTGGTTTGATCCTTCCAAACAGTGGAGTCTTATGATCATGAAAACCACAGATAAGTTTCAAAAGTTATATAATATTTCCGGCGCCCATGGTTGACAGAATTCTAGCAGCTCATAACTCGATGACCGGACGAGTAAAATGTAATTACAACACCCCGAAGCACCACCAAGCAACCGCTCACTCTACCGCCTTGCGAAAATATTAGTCTACGCTCGCCATTTGCCAGGGATATATTTACGTAAGTACTATATTACTAACGATAAACCAAGTGAGCGGAATGTATTGCTTGCTCAGAAATACACAGTACTCACAATACTATAGTTGTAAAAACCAAAAGACGTCGCTCTGTGGAGACAGAACCATGGTCGAACAAGGTCGGATTGGAAAATATTTCATGATATACATGTATACAAACAAACATCTAGGGCCAATTTCACCAACATTAATATTTGACGGACAGTTGGACCAATAGGGAAATACCTTATCGAAATGCAATTTGACCGAAGCTGTTAAAGCTGTCTGAATATCAGTGATTTCTATTGAAATGTTGAATAAAGTCGTGAAAACACGGTTCCCATATGAATAAGGGTATATTATAGAATTAGGATAACTTTCATAGAATTTTAAATTTTTATCCTTTCAGAAAAGATGGTCAGTTATTTAAATGGACCAATGAAAATGAGAGAAATAATAGGTCGATTTTCTAGCGAGTATATTTAGTAGGATGATTCCACTGCCTTAGACGACTGTTCATGCATGGCAATCTACTTTTGTCTGTATATCACATACAGGGTTGTACATAATACGTATAGAAATGTACCGATTTTTGTTATTTTGCAAAAAAATCGTATAAAACGTATTCCAACTGGTTCGTCATCTTTTGTTACATCAAAAACAATTTTTGCCATTTTATGGACTAGAAATCCACACCAAATGTAAACAAACAGCCCGTTCTGTGTCGTAAAACATCAATATTTGTAAAAGTATCCGCATCCACCCATTATTCATCGTCTAGATATTGTAAGTCAGAATCAAAAATACCTATTTATGAAAATATATGTCCAAACATTGTTATATTTTCTTATTATTTCTATTATTATAACACGTCTGGGATATCAATTGCTTTTAAAGCGATCTGCACATCTGCAGTGTTACCGAACCAGCAAAAAAAACAGAATCGGTAAGTAGTGTCGTTGAATTCGCTATAAGGTAAATACCGTCCCAAGATCTGTGGTTGATCAAGGACCTTTGAGTCATGAAAAATGTCTGTTATTGTATTGGGCGCGCACACAACATGTTATTTGATGGCATAGTTCTATATTTCAACTTCTACAATGCGCATACTGGTCGCCATTCTGGAAACTCTTTTTTCGATTCTTGCTTATACGATTGTGAATATTTTTCTGTTTTACCCATGAACTCATGAACTCACCTATCATTTTAATTAAATATTTATTTTGAAAACAGACAGGTTTCGGTTTCTTTATTGCTTGTCCGGTGCTGAGGTAAGGACGGCAATCTACCAGTCTGTACCTTTGTATGCACAAAAATCAATTCAGGGCAAGCGGAGTCGGGGATGAGGATGTGCGTTCATAATAATAGGCAACCCAAATATACGCCTCTCATGTGCCCCACTGCCTGAGTGTGTATGCATACGTATGATTGATATGGGGCATAAAACTATGAAGACTACCTAAAACTAACTTTTAGCTTTATTTTTGGTTTCAGCTCTTTTTCGGCAAGTATAGAAATACATATTTTAATTATTTTGAAAAATCGTGGAGGATGATGTTATCGGTAAATATTCTCTTTTCGATAGAAATACCGCAAAATCCGGTTCAAATCCATGCATAAACGATTTGAAATTTGCAATATGACTTTATATTCTAAATTCTATGCATATCCGTTCATATTCGTCAATATTTCATTTGAAGCTTTTATTTGTCATAAGATTATTGCAAAATCTAAGATAGTAAAGGCAACACCGCACCCTGAAGCCCGGTTGACAAGAACGACAAGCTGTCAAGATTAGGGATGTTTAGATCCACGAAAAGTATCGATTCTTACCGTTTTAGGAAGTATCGATACTCTAAAATATTGGAATAAAATTATCGATATCCAGCGGAAGTGAAAGTGAAATCCACCCTTAGAGATGTCTTTGGAGTTTGCCGATCGACCTCATTCACGTTGTCTCTCAAAATGGTTTGACCTGCATCACTGGATGCAACAAAAAGGTGACGGTATATGAGCGAACAGCTTTTGGTTTGGCGATTCACTCAGTGGCTCGGAATCCAATAAGATGACGCCTCCAGTCTATTAGAAGATATTTAACGCAGCGTGCTGCGTAACGACTTTATTATTTGTTTCCATGTAAATGCTAGATTCTAATAATTATTTACTATGGCATCCACAGTAAATGTGAAATATTCATAAGGAAGTTGGATACATAACTTTTGTGGTTGCTCTGACCGAGACACTTGCATGAATGTCTTCCAATGTGAAAGTTCAAAAGGAGATGTAATCAAAAATGCTTGCACTTCATGTGTTGAGCAATAAATTCATCCGAAGAGAATTATTTATTAGCAACACCCCACGTGTCTCTCGCGAATTAACAACAGCTTTCACGCCATTTTGTTTCATTGGTTTGGATATTTCATCTGTCTGTTTTCTTGGTATACATTCTCTTTGCATATCCTCAATAACCATGCAGAAAGGAGTCATAGTTTAATTACTTTCGATCTGATACGTACACGTACTTGTGGAAAGGAATATATACTCTCACGCGCATGATGAGCACCAAGTGCCACATATACTCGGTGACATTAGAAGCATTACACTCAGAAAAAATAATAACTAAACTTGTTTTTTTGGAAACATAACGACTGTATTTAAAGTATGCTGTGGCAACAATGTCAACGTTTTATCTTTGTTTTTGTTTACCCTTGTAAAAATGATCTCTCAGTTTTTGTGAAGAAACCAGTTTCTGAGAGCTGAGTAGTACAGGTATTTTTAGTTATTGCCCTTTCATTGACTAGCCTTAAGCATAACAAAGTGCCTCGAGTTCTAAGACGTTCAAATAACTACCATGTCAGCGACTTTGACAGCGGTAGAATTATTGCCTATCACGTTGTTGGCTTGTCCTATCGCGAAATTGGCCGCCGTCTTAATTGTACTGCAATGACGGTAATGCGTGTATGTCGTGTGTGGATAGAAGAAGATAGAGGAACACTAAGAAAGCCAACTGTGACCTTTTACTATGCGTACACTCTATCGTCGCATTCGAGCCTTCGAACTTTTTTCATGCCATCCACGGATAGTGCTTCCTCTGACTATGGACCACTGTCGTCAACGCTTGAAATGTAGCAGAGAACAGCAACATTGGGAGCCAGAATGGCATAATGTCGGGCTTTCTTCAAGAAGCAGGCGTTAATTTCTTGCCGTGGTCACTCCGTTCACCGGATTTGAATCCCATCGAACATGTGTGGGATATGATGGAGAGGAGACTATCTACTTTGCACCATCCGCCAGTGACTCTGCCTCAGCTAATACACGAAGTTCGAGTTGCTTGTAGCGAGGTGCCATAAGCAGACATCGATCATCTGATTTTGTCGATGCCTAGACGTATACGTCTATTCAGCTGCGGGGTCGCCCAACACATTAATATATTTTTTCTCATTACTTGTCAATAAAATTTCGTGAGAATGTTATCATTTCATTCTTGATGTTTTACCTCATTGCTAAAGAATTAAGTAGAACTTTTTTTTTGCTGTAACACCTCTAATGTTACTGAGTAGAAGCTCCAGTGCATCTGTGCATGTGCCTCATCTTTTGGGTAACAGTCTCTCAGTAGTCGTCTTAAGGCCTTAATAGGGATGTTATTTGTCGTGTAATTTCACATTCTATTTGCAGTGCCCCAAGCTTACAGAGCACTTGTTTTCACCAAGGGTTCAACTTTTCAACAGCATGTGCTTCAATTTGGCGTGTTACAGGGAAAGGTCCTGAGATATTTCATCTACTCTTAATTACGGCACGTTAACAGCGTAGCTCATCGCATATTCATCTATAAGGTCCTCGTTTCTTGTCTCTCCTTCCATATTTCTAATCTGTTTCCTGCTAAGATGGAGTGAGGGTATGAAGATTACGTAAAATACAGATTGTGCTGTATAGTCAGTTTCTATATAAATGTATCATGGCCTGTCAAGGTTTGCTTATCAAAAATATTGTCAAAATGTAAAACTTTTGAAAGTCTCTAATTGAGTATAAAATAGCCATGGAATTAGATTTTCAGAAATATGGACTAATTAAGCACTCCTAGTGAAATTTCTAGATTCATATCAAGCTACAGTCGTCGGATTTAGATTTTAGTGGAGGTAGCATTTTTAGTCGGAGTAACAATATCAGACGGAGTACATACACTGTCTCTGAACCTTTATCGAGTTTCTATGTTCAGTAACAGAAAAAGTTACCACTTTTTCACCGTATTCCTATAGACGGTGAAAGCATGGCGTTTTAGATTCAGTGATATGGCGGCTGCTATGGGCATAGCTACCTCTTTGAGATTCATATCCACGATTGGCCTATTGTACCAAAAATTGACGTACCTAATCATAACAAAAATCCTTCACGAATCTTTGAGTCGCTCAGAGCAACGTAATTTCGCCACGTTGCTGTATTTGAGATCCAGTGTAGATGCTTGTATGGACATGCAGCACTTAAAAAATGGAGCGTAAAACGATATCAAGCTATATGGAGTGATAGTGAATGACGGCCCTTAAGTGCGCTTAACGCTCGACCAATGCGAGGCGTTGATGAAATTGTCACATAATTTGAACTACAAGAGAGTCATTTACCTGATAGTCGGACGTTAATAACGTGACGCTAAAAGCATGACGTTTTTAGCGTTGGTCCGTGCCGCGCCAGCGTCAGCTTACAGCTTCCGCGACCAAGCCGGGAATACATTCGTGAGACTGGTGACATAGTAGTGAAACAGGAAATATGTCGCTGTCACTCTGAAACACTGTCTCATATTGCTCAACATACTTTAAATTTGAATATACACTAAGTGACATATAAATCCGAGCATCCAGTTTAAATGGTTTTATTTTAATAAAATTTTGTATAAGTACTTAATGAAGCATAATAAGTAAATGACAAAAATTTCAAAATGATTGCACTGCTTTAAAGCCCTTTGACCTTTAATAATGTGTGGATGCACCCTGATGTGCTACGCATTCTCCAACGCGCCTAGGCATGCTTCTGATCAGGTGGTCAATGTCCTCCTGTGGTATCTCATTCCAGGCAACCACCAACTCCTCTCGAAGTGCTTCTAGAGTCTGAGGAGGATGTTGCAAATTGAGCAATCTCCTACCCATAATATCCCACACGTGCTCAATTGGGGATAAGTCGGGAGATCTTGGTGGCCATGGTAACAATGTGACATCATTATGTTGAAAGAAGTCTATTGTGACTCTTGCAACATGATGAAGATTAAAGGTGACCTGGAACCATAAGCTATAGCACCACAAACCATAACTCCAACAGTGTGATGAACATGTCTTTCAACAAAAAACTGTGGATTCCTCCTTTCACCACGTCGCCTTCTAACCCTGGCACGACCATCGTGCATGCCCAAAAAAAATCGTGACTCGTCACTAAAGACAATACTGTTCTATTCCTGATCCCAGAGTGACTGTTGTCTGCACCACTCAAGGCGATTACGTCGGTGTTCTCGAGTTAAAGGGAGGACCCAGTGTGGCCGGTATGAAAACAAGCCAAAACTTCTCATTCGTCGGTAAACACTTCGCATGCCAATAGGTCTTCCGCGTTCTGCAAACCATTCATTTGCAATGGACACCAGGTCCACTACCAGAGCGGAGAAACGGTCCCTTAAGGCCAATAATCTTAGGCGGCGATCTTCACGGTCTGTTGTTCTACGGCGGCGTCCAGTGCCCCTTGCTCTTTGCGTACGGTCTTCTCGAAGCCATGCCTGACAACACCTAACCATAGTGTCTACACTTCTTTGCACTCTAACTGCAATTGCCCGAAAAGAAAGTCCAGCTTCCCGAAGTCCCACTATACAGCCCCTATCAAACTCACTAAGGACGAAATCGTACAGGTCTCCGTACTCTAGGTATCGTAACCGATCGTAAAGGGTGTCAAGAACCAAAATCCGCCAACGTTGATTCTTTACTGCGGCTGAAATATTCATTTTTGGAGCCTTAGTGAATTAAAAAAAAGCAGTATAAAAACCGGAATGTCCAACTGATAAGACTGAAAAACTTTTCACTTGTTATTTACAGTAATATAAATACATTCATCAACTTTTATTAAAATAAAACCATTTAAACTGGGTGTTCGGATTTATATGTCACTTAGTATATATTTCAATTAAAGCTCATGATTTTCTAAATTCTTAATTATATTTGGCACAAGCTCATATCACAGTCATCACGTATATTTTGTTCCTCTAATTTCCATTCAGGACCAAAAACGCTGCTGATGCTCTAGAAGTTCTTGCCATGGTTTCTGACGACACTGAAAATTATGAAGAGGCACAATTTTTCGCCGTCGCGTCGACGCGAAAAACTACAGCAAAGAGATAACGACCTCGGTTGGCCGCGTGGGTCAGAGTGTCGTGCTACTGATCAGCCGGCCGGCCGGGCCGCGAGTTCGAATCTCGCCTTCGCCATGGATGTTGTGTGTTTGTTTTAGGCAGCAGCGGTGGCCGCAGTAGTAGACTCTTCGGTCTCCTGATCAGCCGCCGTGCGCTGTGCGGGTTCGAGTCCCGTCCCAGGAGAAATGTTTCTCTTGGCCATGGATGTTGTGATTGTCCGTAGGTGGTAGATGGTCTCTGACTGTCGAACGCGGAGGTACCACCCGGCGGTTCTCGTAGGCGGAGCCAGAATGTGTGCATGTTGCATGCACACGTGTTCCCTCGCCAGAGTCAGTGTGGCGTCCCCCCTTTCCCATGTATCCCCCATAGCCCCACGGTACCCAATGGGTGCTTAGGCCTTAGGCCTTCGTGGTAGTTGGAGTATAAAAAAAAAAAAAAATATTATTATCATTATTCTCCTTTTCACTCACGTTTCGCCATGCTTTGCAGTTTTATTACTTCGCGGTTTAATAATACGAGTATATATATATATATATTTCTGCATGCAACTCGTCCGACCCATCAAAATTAGAGCTATTTATAGTTATGATGGCAGCAACAGAGAGAGAGAGAGAGAGAGGGGGATGCCACATACGCAGAACCTGAAATTCTGCATTAGCGCTATGTCATTATTGGTGTCATCGTGGTCCTAGCCTACTGCCTTGTCGCTGTCAGGGTGCCGAATAGTACTTTAAAGCTGCACGCCCACTGAGTGCAAAAAAAGAAATTGGCGTGCGACAATGTCACTTGACAATGCCTGACGTACAGCTGTCTCTTTGCGACTCGATTATCCAACTTTGTTAATAGGGTATAAACAAAAATTGTATAGTTTTGAGACAGCAATCTGATGGCGACCTCGACCACGATTTGGAAGATGACTATCGAGGTTATCTAGAGGTCAACTTGAAAATTCTAAATGGAACTACATCTTTTTGATCCCACCGACGGAAAGAGCAACAATTTTCGAGGATTACCACCATGCCCATGACCTTCAAGGTAGTGTGGAGGTCAATTTGAAAGTTCTAATAAGACCGTGTCATCGATGGAGCGACAAACATACGTTCTGAAGTGACCACAACTGCCCATCAAATTTACCGTTCTTTCCACACATGCGGCATTAATTACGGTCGCCTTTAAAATTTCCGAGTTAATCTTTAAATGCCAGTCATTTCCGTATGCAGTTTGCCACTCTTTTCATTACCAAAATCAAATGCATTTCGATTCTTCATTATTATATCTCAAGTTGACTATGCAATGACCTTGAACGCTATGGTTATTTCTTAATGTGTAGTTTGCTGCTTTATCCATTTGTGAAGCCAAAATGATACAGTTACATTTAGAATCTTCAAGTTGACCTATCAGTGTCCTTGAATGTCATTTCAAACATCACAATGGTGAATGTCACTATTAAATTGTTTTCTCAGAATGCTGCAACCGCTCAGTGAACGTAGGACAACATGCAGTTCTGAATAACGAATTCTACTTACAGCCGATAAATAGGAGGTTTTCCTTAAACTAAAAATGGGTAACCGCAAATAAGTTGTTTGACCTCAAAAAACCGAAAGGGGATCAAGCATAAATGGTATTCCTGTCTACATTTTACGAGATTTGGTCACTAGGAGATACATGGGGTTGCGTTGTCATGGAGAATACACTCTTACCAAAAAATCTTTTTTTTGTCCTGAATCGTTTCTGACAACGAACTGAAATATGAGGTTCAGTGCTTCTTCAAGGGCGAGGCGAATCATCTAACAGAATGTATCACTCACTTATTGCTGTAAATAATTTTTGTACTTCTCAAAAAGAGGGATCCCACTTTGGGAATTACCCTCGTAGTATATCCACAGATATATAAGAACATTAACTTCCTAGAAGTTGTAAGATAAAAAGCTTTTTGCTATTACGTTTCTCCTATAGTTTCACCTACATATTACAGTTCATATTACACAGTGTACAGGACAAAAAAGCATGCCCAAAATTACATTCTAATAGAAGGCGAGCTCGGTCGAAAATCCATCATCCGGATTTTTCTCGTTTCTAGGAAAAAAGGAACAGCCAGAACTTCTGATACGATATTGGATACTTTTTTGTCGTCGGAAGGCCGTTACATGGCATATTTTTGCTGATTGGATTCCAAGGATTGGAGTCATATCGTGAATTATGTCTTTCGGGGGGTTACGCACCTCTAACAAGACGGCCAAAAGATGTATCGTAAAGGGCAGCTCCTGGAAAATTAGTTGAGTTATTGCTTTATTTTCTCTTTCTTTGAAGTTATGTCATTAGACGTAATTATAGCTTCGAGGTATTTCGGTTTTCGACTTGAACGATTTAATCTATAGTTGTGTACGAACAAATGAATGATTTACTGAATGTCGAGCTTGCTATGATTTGACAATCTAGTTGCTAGGTGGATAAATCGACAAACTTGATAATGAGGACAGGTAGACGAGCAGCTTAGGTTCGTGTTCTGACTTAACAGCAAATATTCGAAAGCCAAAGTGTTTTGCAAAAAATAAAATCTTTGAGTCGGTTACAGTTTTCGTCGCACTATGATCGCTACTCTCGCTAGGTGATCCGGACATCAAAAAATGTAAAAAATGGGGTGCGACAATATTCAGAAAAATGTGCCGCTTCTATGCACTACTTTTTCATACATTTTTTTTAACATAACTTATTTTTTGAACGTGTTACGTTAGCAAGTTGAAATTCGAGATGATGAAATTGACGCTGGTAATATTCTAAATTAGCACCCCAAATTAATCAAATGGACAGTGTTCCGTTCTCTTGCAAGCACGAATGCCAAATATAAAAATATCACACTATGAATCTGGAGTTAATTTTTCGATCAGAGAGACGGTAGGTACCAAAAGACACATATCCAATCTAAATACCATATTTGACACCAACGACTGAAATTACTCCAATGTGCCGAACTTTTGCGCAGTAGAACTTCAAAAATCCTTGCGCGTATGCCATTCTGACTGTTTCAGGTGCATCGTCTACGAAGATCACGAGTCTGGAGTCAGCTGCCAGTTCGCTTATTTTTAATAGGTTTATCTGAATATGCAAGGAAGTATTGAACATTCCATTATATGTATAAACTCTCTCAACTCTCAAAGAAGTAATATTTATATAATATACTTAGTGTGATGAGTTATTTAGTTATAAGCGGATCAAGTTCATAAAACCCCCGTAACGCTCCTAAACAACTTCTTAACTGACCCACATTGTATTAAAAAAAAATCCATGATGGCGTCCAGCGTCTTTTATCAAAGTAATGACAGTCGATTCAACACGTCAGAAACCCTAAGCACACCAAAGCAGCTGGATTTCCTCTGTGCTTTTCACAGACAAATGGTGGAGAGCACCTCCTAGCTTTAAACAGACGGGTATTGATGGAAATTTTCCAGACGTAGACATTGAAAGAACGCATTATCACAAAGTCTAGAATCACTGTCGTTGAATAACCCTCTATATATGTTTATCCGATTTTAATAATTTTTGACATATACATATGTTCAGAATCCTTTGCTCAAAGAAGCCGGTTCAATAATGTGTTGAGGACTCACGATTTCCTATAGACCCATTGTCAATATCAGGGTAATATAAGTTGACCCCTGAATGACAATGAAAATCATATTCGTAGACAAGGTCATTCTGTCCTTTGCATGTGTGAAGTTAAAAGGATACGATTTTTTTTCAATACTCCAGTTACCACGAAGCCCTACGCCTCACCACCTAAACACCAATGGGTACCGTGTAGCTATAGGGGGATACAGGGGAATAGGGGGGGACGCCACACGGACTCTAGCGAGGGAACACGTGAGCATGAGGCATGCACACATTCTGGCCCCGCCTACGAGATCCGCCGGGTGGTACCTCCGCGTACGACAGTCAGAGACAGTCTACCACCTACGGACAATCACAACATCGATAGAAAAGAGAAAACTTTTTCTTGGGATGGGATTCGAACCCTCGCAGTGCACGGCGACTGATCAGGAGACGAAGCGGCTCCCACTGCAGCCACCGCTGGTACCTAAATTCGTTATAATAAATTTCTTATAACAAAATTTTTATCGTGACCTCTAATTTACCTTGAAGATCGTCGTTTGTCTCATGATCAGCCACCATGCTCTCAGAACCATGCAGATTTTGACTTAACCATTCACACCAAAGCAGCTGGATTTCCTCTGTGCTTTTCACAGACAAATGGTGGAGAGCACCTCCTAGCTTTAAACAGACGGGTATTGATGGAAATTTTCCAGACGTAGACTTCAAAAGAACGCATTATCACAAAGTCTAGAATCACTGTGGTTGAATAACCCTCTATATATGTTTATACGATTTTAATAATTTTTGACATATACATATGTTCAGAATCCTTTGCTCAAAGAAGCCGGTTCAATAATGTGTTGAGGCCTCACGATTTCCTATAGACCCATTGTCAATATCAGGGGAATATGAGTTGACCCCTGAATGACAAATAAAATCATATTCGTAGTCAAGGTCATTCTGTCCTTTGCATGTGTGAAGTTAAAAGGATACGATTTTTTTCTATACTCCAGCTACCGCGAAGCCCTAGACCTGACCACCTAAACACCAATGGGTACCGTGTAGCTATAGGGGGATACAGGGGAATAGGGGGGGGACGCCACACGGACTCTCACATTCTAGCCCCGCCTACGATATCCGCCGGGTGGTACCTCTGCGTACGACAGTCAGAGACAGTCTACCACCTACGGACAATCACAACATCGATAGAAAAGAGAAAACTTTTTCTTGGGACGGGATTCGAACCCTCGCAGTGCACGGCGACTGATCGGGAGACGAAGCGGCTCCCACTGCAGCCACCGATGGTGCCTAAATTCGTTATAATAAATTCCTTATAACGAAATTTTCATCGTGACTTCTCTTAACCATTTCTTCTTTGATTACCGTTTTCTAAGACAGAAAGGGTCGTAAACTTTTTGCACACACTGTCATACTATAAATAGAGAATAATATTGAGATAGCCTTTATTCCTGTCGTTGTTATCCACTTTATAGTCTCGTGATGTCAGACAAACCATCTGGATATCACCTCAAAGCTACAAATTCGTATCACGTCGTGCTACCGGTTTACGTTCAACAAGGGACCGTGAAATTTGATTTAATTTTATCAGACTTGCCACAAAGATCAAAAATA